AAAAAATCTACTTTTCTATTTATTAAGATTTTTTATGGCTTTTTATATGCTTCCTCTTATTTGTGTTAAACTGTCATTGAATTGAATTTTATTAGTCATAATCAGTATACATAGTTTCACAGATATTTGTACACAAAGTTATCACAGCATTGTGAAATATAAATAAGATTACACAAAAGCATATAGTCATTGTTATAGAATTTACAAAAGAAAGAATGAATTCTTTATGGCAGACATTTTCTTTCATGTATCTACCAAAAGTTATGTTTATTTTAAATTTAAAGTCCAACATCAATGAAGCCTATCTAAGTTTTACTCTTTTTTCTGGTGATATTACTAATCATCAACTCAGAAATTAGACGGTGTTTTTTTTCTTCAAAGGAATTGTACATACCTGACCTTCCTTTTTGTCTATCTTATGGAGATATAAGTTAGAACAAGCAGGAAAAAATTTAAAGTTGCATCTAGCTTGTTTATATATCTTACATATAAACACAAGTGCATGTAAATGAAAACAAATGCAAAATTTTTAGTCATTAAATAAATGGCTAGGCCAGACTTTTTTTCTGCTCAAGTAGCGAAACACATGCAGGTCTCACATTGGAGGGCTGTAGGTGAATACAGGTGCATCTTTGTAGTCACAGCTGTGTAGACAATTCCACATCTTATGACTATTTGACTACAGGAGACACAGTTCAAAATAATTCAAGGAAACATAAAAGTGATCCTGAAAAATCTCAACTTTCATCCACTTTTTTTTCACAATGTACATTAAGGTATTTTGAAACTACTTGCATTGCTTTGAAGAAGCTTGAAGAAGCCATGGGGCATTTAAAAAATATATGACATTTTATTCAGTCCAAAGCTCATTAAAACATTGACAGTAGCTTATTCATCTTGATAACCTACTGTGTGTAGACGCTGCTGCAAATACTTTACTTGCATTAATACTTGTAATCCTCATAACAGCATTGTGAGGTAGTATTTTATTCAAACTGTAGAGATGAAAGAACCAGTGCACAGGGAGCTCTTAGGTTATTTTCATAGATACATATACTTTACATGTGGCAGAGTCAAGTTTCAAGCTCTAGCAACCTAGTCCAAAAACAATCTGGGCTCACTAACACTATGCCCACCACTAGGCTTTGGAGTATAGTTAAGTCCCAAGCTCATTCAGCTGCTTGTCAAAATTGAGTTCCTATGCTGAAGCATTAATTTACTTTTATTTAGTGCTCAGTATATGCTAAGCACTGTCCTAAGTGTGTTGTACAAAACACTCTCGACCTGACATCCTGAAAGTTGAAGTCTTACAAAGGTACTAGTTGACTCATGCTGATGTAGCTTTTAAGTAAATATATAGATAGTATAATCCAGCAGAAGTTTAGAATACCCTACTTCGAATCATTTTGAAACCAGCTCTGTCTTCACCTGCTTCTTTCTTACACTCGTGGAAAAATACTTCTAAGCCTTTTAATTTTCTTTTTTCTGGGATGACTACAATTGATGTATGGATGGCAAGATAGTGCTAAAGAACAGGTTATAAATATTTCTTAACAATGTGTTATGCTTCCTGAAGCTAGTGTTTGAGGTCATTATGTGGAGTTAATGGCAAGTTCAATACATTTAAATACATGACAATCCAGTGGTTAAGGAAAATTCTCTGTACTGTCCAGGTTAGAATTCACGTTATATTGCAGATCCCATGCTTCTTCATTCTAGCTGTTGAATGTCCAGTCATGAGTTCTAGAATAGTGATGACTTGAATCCCCAGGGAGGATACTAGCTGATCTTTGCAAAATGAATCCCTGGAGCTCTAAGGCTGTAGCAGCCTGGCATCTCTTTCTAGCCTGTGGGAAACGGTTTTCCCCATCATCCCTTGAGAGAAACCACTTGTATTTGTCATATTAAGGACTATCACAGCTTCCCTCATGAGTGAGGAATCAGTGCTATCTGTTGTTTGCCACATCTTCTTTCTTCATGGTAGTTTATGTACACAAGGGCTACTTCATGATACACAATCTGTCCAAGACTGAAGAGTTTTTTTGGCATCTGGAAAAAGCACTGTTTCAACCTTCATGAATCTAAGTAATAATTTACAATCTGCTGGTATTCCTGCTCCATGTGCCATGACTATAGCTCATGGATTTTTCACTTTAGATGCCAGTCTTGGAGGAAATCCAGTCTCGATACTTAGTCACTCTTGTGTAGACCCCAGGTTTGTTTGGAAGAGCACATGACTGTCCCCAACTTACTATACCCACAATGTACCAGATGTCCTTATTGTCATAAACCAGAGGTCCTCCAGAATCACCCTGGAATAAAAACAAATGTATTTTTGTTAGCTGTGATTCAAAATCATTGTAATTGTCTCTTTTCTACAATCACTCCTCTAAAAACAGAAAGAAAGAAAAGGAATTGGTACACGAACCATACAGCCCAATTGAGATAAAAATTTGTGTCAAACCTTAAAGTACATTTTAAAAAGAAAAAAACCAACATTTATTCATATGCAATGGTCATACTATTTCCAGTTCATCATCCTTGTATTTTTGTTAGTTTGATTAGACATTTTGTGAATAAATGTTATAGTTTGATAACAATTTCAATTATATAAAATATTAAATATGAGATTATTATTTGTGATAATATTGGTAGACAATTTCAAAGGTCTCTTCTGAATACTGTTAGTTTGACTGCATATTGTCCCGTTCTTGCTCCCTTTTCTTTTACTCTTCTAATTCTAGTGCATGTGTTCTTACTGAATTACAAAAGCTCCTTTATCTCTCTTATATATGATGAGAGAGATTGAGAAAGTAGATAACATATATGGGAGTTAAAAGCAGGATCTCAGATGTTGAAATGTCTTGGTTCAGGCCCAGTTCTATCACTTATGAGTTATGTGATTTTGAGTAAGGTATGTTAGCTTTACTCTTTTACTCCGTTCTTCCATTTACTCTTTTTCCTCCTTATTTTTATTTTTATTAATGTTCATGTGTGTCTGCGTGTGTATGCTATGTGTATACTAGTGCCCACAGAGGCTAGAAGAGGGTGCTGTCTCTCCTGGTGCTGGAGTTACTGGTGGCTGAGTCACTTAACATGGATGCTGGATCCGAACAAAGGTCCTCTGGAAAAGTAGCCCATGCATGTCTCTGGCCCCCATTACATGCTCTTTAATGAACTACTTTTGAGTTTCTATTACATGCCCCTGGCATTCTGATGCCTACTGGAGATAAATGATGACCAAAAATAAGTTTCCTATGCTCATAAAGCTTGAAGTATAGATTTTTTAAAACCAATATTTATTTTTTATTTATTTTTATGTGTGTGGGTGTTTTGCCTGCGTGTGTATAAGTGTATCCATGTTGTGCAATGCCCATAGAGACCAGAAGAAGGCAACAATTGCCTGGAACTTATATTATGGATGATTGTTAACTGCCATGTGGGTGCTGGAAACTGAACCCAGTCCTCTATAAGAACCGCCAGTGCTCTTAATCAATAAGCCACATATTCAGTCCTCCCAAACCCAAAATTTAAATAAGTACCAAACAAATGCAAAATCAACTATGGTAACTGACAGAGAAACATACAATAAGATTTGATTTTTTTAGTGTGTACCTCCCCCAACTCGCCCCTGGGAAGTGTTGGTATGGGAAGTTAGAGGGGTTGATCATGCATCAAAAAGCAGTAATGTAATGCATTCTAGACAATGGGAAGGGCATTGTGAATGTTCTGCGGCATGAATGCATCTGGCATGTGCAAGGGTTGAAAAGGTGGGGATGGGGCTGAAGAGGACAGCAGAGGGAGAAACCGGTGGAAAACCATAAGGCTGAGAAGTAAGGGAGGCAGTTACTGTGGAGCCCTATAGATCTTGTATAGAAGGTCTTGTTTTGTGCCTTTAAGAACAAAAGGGCAGGGGGCTAGAGAGATGGCTCAGCAATTAAGAGCACTGACTGCTCTTGTAGAGGACCCGGGTTCGATTCCCAGCACCCACATAGCGGCTATGAACTGTCCTTAACTCCAGTTCCAGGGAAATCCAAAGCCTTCTTCTGACCTCCTTGGCATTGCACCACACGGGTGCACTCACATACATGCAGGCAATACACTGATACACATAAAATAAAAATAATAAATAAAATATAAAAAAGAACAAAAAGGCAGTGGCTGAACGATTTTTAAGGAGGCATTTAACATAATCAGAATAGCATCTTATGAATATGGCTGACATTTGTCTTGCAATGCATTAAAGGAGTAAAAGAGTGAAAAGGAGATGATTGGTGGGGTAGCTTCCCAAACTGTGTAAGGTAGGTGGAAGAGAGGTAGGAAGAGAAAGTGGGGAAAGAGAGAAATGGCGAACTGGCATGTGAGAAATAATCACAAAGGCACAATCAACGTATTTAGATAACAACTTGATATGTGACAGGGAAGGAAACTGGGCTGGCAGCCATCAAAAATCAAGGAAAATAATGCATCAAGAAAAGGGAGTTGTATTATTAAATGCTATTAAAAGGTCTAAAAAGAGCAGCACTGAAAATACTTGAAAATACTTGTTCTCTGTGAAATCGAGGCCAGCCTGGTCGTACATAGCAAGTGCCAGACCAGCTGGGGCAACAGGGAGTCCTGTCTCAAAAAGACAATAAAATAATAATAGTAATGATTAATAATAATATTTGTGAGATTTTTAGCATCATTGATGTCATTGATGGGTCATTAGAAAGCTTAGGAAGAACAATTTGTGGAAATAGTAGGAAAAATACAATACTAGAATGGCTAGAGGAATTGGAAAGGGGTGACATATGGAAATAATAAGTACAGAAATTCTTTGCAAATATTTGATGGCAAAGCCACAAGCTGGCGTTCTGTCTAGTTGGAGGCATCTAAGTCAAGGAAGAGATTTTTCTCCCTCAAAGACATATGAGTAATTTAAAAACAAATATTAACTATAAAGAAGAGAGGAGAAATCACTTCTATTGAAAACTTCCCTCAAAATTCCCGCAAAGGCCAGTGAGAACAGGAACCAGGCACAAGAGCAGGAACTGGTGTAGTGAAGACACAGCTTGTCTGTGGAGCCCTGTGTTAAACCCAATGGCTTACACAAGTCAATAAATGGGAAAAATCTTTGTAAATTCACAAATATGGGAAAATAAAACAATATTCTCTGAGACAACCAATGAGTCACAAGATAATTTAAAAAGGAAATTGAGAAAAATATTCGTAGACAAAAATCTGAAACACAACCTATAAAAATTTATGAAATAAAGGAAAATAGGTACAAGATGGAAATTGATAGCACTAAATGCCTACATCAGAAAATAATAAAGCTCTCAAATAAATTTAACATTGTGCTTTGAAGAAGTAAAAAAGAGAACAAACTAAGCTCAAAGTGGGCAAACAAATAAAGCAGAGAATAGAAATCAATTAAATAAACAGACAAACAACAGGGAAAAACATGAGTTATTATTTTTAAATTTATTTTCTTGACTACATTTTCTTGTGTGGGTTTTTAAAAAACCATTTTTATGTTTTTTAAAAAGATCAACAAAAGCGGCAAAACTTAACTAATGTTGCTGAGGAGAAAAGGGAGCTCTTGCACACTGCTAGAGAGAGCATGACTGGTGTAGCTGTTGTGGAAAATGTGTAAATTCCTCAAAACTCCAAAACTAAAATAGAATTGCCACATGACCCAGTAATCCCAATTCTGGGATTCAGCGCCCAGGGGTAGTGAAGTCAATACAGTTAAGAGATAATCTGAAATCTCCCATTCACCGCAGCATTATTTATGGAAACCAAGACAGGGAATCAACCTAGGTGCCCACATGGTGATGGATGAGTAAGGAAAATGTGGCATATATACACAGTGGAATTATACTCAGTCTTTAAAACAAACAAAATTCTGTCATTTCAGATGGCATGCATGAATCAAGACATTATAATAACTGAAATAAGCCAGGCACAGGAAAAAATTGCTGTGTGATCTCACTTGTATATGGAATCTCTTTTTAAAGGTGAAGTCACAGAAATAGAATGATGGCTACTACAGGCAGGGGAGGGGAATGGGAAAAAAGGGCAAGAAGAGTTTCTGGTTGGAGTGTACTATGTCAGTTAGATAGATAAGTGCTGTTGGGATTTATTGTGGAGCTGATAACTGTAGTCAGTGAGGATACAATGTGCACTGCAAACAAATAGAATAGATTTCAAAAGCATCACCACAAAAATGTTGTGAGGTCAGATATATTAGTTTATTTAATCATTCCACTTTCTGTGTATACCAAAGCATTACAGAATACTCCGTAAATGCAATGTAATTTTTGCCAAAAAAAGATTCAAATGAAATAAAGTTGGTCAAGTGTAAGGTGAAAGCTGAAAGAAAAATAAGAAGTGGATTTTGAGAAAGCACACTGTCAGTGGACTGCTGGTCTGTAAGGGGGAAAGACCGTTTTATTCAGTCCACAAATATTTGTACTAGGTTTTAGTGCAACAAATAAAACAAAAACAAGCCTTCCCCTGCTGATCTTATGTTCTAATTTGTTAGGAAACAGATAAATAAAAAAAAAATACTGTATTTTTGGATGGTGATAAGGTCTAAAGAGAAAGACAAGGCAAAGAAGGGACACAAAGAATGTGTGTATGTCTTGTGTGCTGGGACCTGGCTAGTAAGATGTGATGTGTTGAAGAGAGTGTATCCAAGGAAACATGAGAAGTTGAAAGTGGGTGCAGGCGGTTAAGGCGGCTAATAATCAAAAAAGAAGACAGAAAGAAAGTAAGAGCATTGGCGGGCTGACAGGTTTTAGTAACAAAGCTGAAAGCATAACTCTAAAGATAGATAGGGCCTGAAATGGCTAAAGAAGAGCAAGGGTCACTGAAGATGAAGAGGTTAGGAACCAGAGTCCAGCACTGAAACATGCCAATACTGATACTGTAGGACTTTAGGGAGTCTGTGTCTGGTACCAATGCCATTAAACGAGAAGGATGAGGAGAAGGGAACAGGTGGCTGGGAGATGAAAACAGCAGGTGTGAGAGATGAAGAGAGTGAGTGAGTGGCCAGCCATTCAGAGGAAATGGTTCTTTAAGCTTGATTTCAAGAAAATAACAATGAAAGTCAAGTAGGGTGGTGAACTCTTGTAATCCTAACACTTGGTCAAGAGGATCAGAAGTTCAAGGTCATCCTCAGCTATATAGCATACTTGAGGCCAGCCTGGACTATATGAGACTCTGAATCCCCCATTACTCAAACAAGAAAAATGGAAAAAGAACAGTGGAGTATAAAAGTAACTGTGTGCACCAACAAAAAGGGAGCAGAAGATTTTCATTTCCTAATTTTTAAAATAGGGAAAATTATAGTACTGCTTGTGTCTCATTGCATTAAATAAAATAATGTATAACAATGCTTTAGTTTGGGCTTGTTACACATTAAACACTGAATGGAATTATTCTATTAATATATGCTAAACTCAGAAGTAGCTAATGGAATCTTTCCTTTTGATGGTTTGACTGATTCTCAACTTACCTTGCATGCATCGACTTTTCCTTCCATGAATCCAGCACATAGCATCCCGGGAGTGATCAGGCCATCATACACATCCTTTCTATTACACACATCAGTACCTATGGTTTCTACCCTGGCTTGGCGGAGTTTATTTTGTGTAGGCCCTATTACACACAAATAAATAAACAAACACATAAATAATGTGCTTTTCAAATATGATAGTGCTAGCTCAAGCACTAAAGACAGATAAATTGTGTATTCCTAGGAGCAGAAGCACAAATTATTTTATTAATGTTGGTTTTGCTGAATTATATTTGCTATGTTGTAAGTGTCTACATAAAAGGAATCATAAATATACGAGCCTCAGTAGTATATTAGTCAATCTTCTAAAGTAGTCTTTAAAACTATACATATATATATGCAATATTTTTTTTGAGGTTTGCAGAGGTCCATCAGATTGATCTAGTCCAAGATGCACATTTTCCAGAATTCATTAGTTTTTTTGCAAAAGCTTTTAAGTAGAAAGCAAGACATGGCACAAAGACAATTTATCCATGCTATCTTCTGTAATGTGTTATTGAAGTGTCTCACAACATGGAAAATAAAATGGATTGCCAATGTGTACCAGCAATCTGATGGTAGCACAGAGTGAGATTAGGAATGGAGGGTACTACATGATTGAACACAGAAGGGAAATAGGTTGGAGCGTCTGGGTGAGGCTGCAGACGAATAATCATGAAAAGAAGGGAAGAGAATATGAAAAGATGCATATAAGAAGTTGGGTGTATGTGGAATATTTGAAAAAAATCATAGAGCAGAATTCTGTTTTTAAATGCTGGATGAAGGCATATTGCCACTTGTCTCCCACTTTCTTCAGTATACTCTTGGTGGTACCTTAAATATATTACTTTTACCATAAAAATTCAATTAGTCTCTCTGTAGAGCAAACTAGTACTTAGAATTCTTTTAAAATTCTTAGACTTTATAAAACCTCTAAAGAGGTAGGAGGGAGGGGACAATTAAAATCCTCAAATCATTCATCACCTATTTTCACATTTGTTACCATCATAAATTCTCATTAAGATGAAGAACTGAAACAAAGAAAAATATCATTAATATTGAGATTTAAAGTATATGCTGATCAAATAGATTTACAAGGATGTACACGTTATTAGCTACTCTTATAATAGCTTGTCCTTTACTATATCCTCTAACTTAGTGTGTTCTTTTCTGCTGCATTAGCTTCTTCCTTTCTTACTGCTGCTTCAATTCTGAATTCTAAGACAAGACTTCACTTCTGTCATTTCTCAAGCTACTGCTCTTTGTTCTACCAAGGGCCACACACACATAAGCATCACCACCATTATTTTTTTTTTGAGTGTGTGTGTGTTGTATGTTTGTCTGTATGTGTGCACATATGCATGAATATGGATTTGAGGGCATGTCTATGTATGCATGTGGATGGACGTTGGAGGCTGATATTAGGTGTCTCCTTCAATTGCTCTCTGTTAATTTTTAAGTGCACCACAGTGCATGCCTGGTGTCTGAAGAGGCCAGAGGAGGGCATTGGATCTCTTGGAACTGGAATTAAGGACGAGTGTTAGCTGCTGTGTGGGAGCTGGGGTCTAAACCCAGGTCCACTGGAAAAAACAGTAAGTGCACTTAGCCACACTCTCCAGCTCCTCTCCACTAATTTTTTGAGGCTTATTTTTTGTGATTCAGGGTATCTCACTGAACCTGGACCCTGTGAATTGAGCAAGGTTCCTGGATTCAGGGATCTGCCTGTCTTTGCTTCTCCAGTACTGTTAGTACAGGTATGCACCTCTACACTTGTCTTTTATGTGGGTGCTGGGGATCCTAACTCAGGTCCTGTGCTTGTGCAGCATACATTTTATGCACTGAGCTGAGCCCCTGTAGGGTTATTTTTAAGAAAAGTTTTTTGTGTCACAAAAATTAGGTCAGAGGTACTCACCATCATCTACAATAGACCCAAACCCTGTGACAAATACACTTGTTTTAGGTGGCAGTTTCATAGATGAATCTGGGAGGCAAACTCTCTGAACTACATTTGAAAACTCTACTCGGGTAGTGAGCTGAGCCAGGGCGATGTCGTTCTCATTAGTTTCTCTGTGGTAATCTTCATGTATGATAATTTTTCCCACACTTCGTTTCACTGCAGGTGGTGTAATAGTTGTACCAAAAGTAGCAATCCAATGACCTGGGTCTTTATTTCTACAAAAAAAAATCAAAGGGTAAGTGTGATGCTTTACATTACCTTCTGGGAAAGAAAAAGATTAAAGTTGCTCTTCTCCCCAACTTTGAGAATTATTTTTTTGGAAAATTCCTATGGTGGGAGAATCAACAACTGATGCCGTCATCAGAAAGAAGTTCCCTATGATTAAAACAAATAATTGTGTGTAACTTATCAATGAATTAGCAGCTTTTATTTTCAAATTTTAAATGTGTGCCTTGTTAGGAATTCTTTGGGTTCTCTTTCTTCTTCATTTCCAATGAATTGTGAAGAAATTAATTTTGTTTTGTTTCAGAAAATGAACACATTACTGGGCAATTTCCCTCTGTATTAAATCACTCATCCTCATCTGATGACTTGCTTGCCGGCTCTTGTAGAGCTTCCTGGGATCTTTGAGGCTAAGTGGAATGTGTGTACTGTGCAAGCCCTCACTGTACAGAGTTGTTCCTCCCCCCATGCCCACATCCCTTCCTGACATTCAAAGGTTAAGCTGCCCTTACTGGAAGTCAAGCTCTTACTGCCCTTTGCTGTGGCCTGGCCAGTCTCCTCTACTAACTCTTTCCTCACAAAGATGCTTTTCTCTCCCGAGGTTACATCACAATTTTATCCAGCTCAATTATCTTTCCTCCCATAATTCTTCTCCAAAGCCCATTTCACTCTTTTTAAAATTATTCCCATCAAGAATGATTGGACATATGTAGAAGCATGAAGTTGTCTGGATGAAGGAAACCACACAGAGGAGAATTTTAAAAGGGGATTTCCTCTTGTATGAGGGATTACCAAGTTGATGAGTCATCAACTTTTAGGAGCAATGAAAACTAAAAGGTTAGTGATTTTCTAAGTACTTTAGACTGGCCCAGGGATGAGTAGGCAGATCCCCAAGACAGAGGAGGGGCTCTTCTCTACTCTAGCTTACTTGTTTTTACGGAAGATTTTGTTCAGTGAAGAAATGCCAGGAGCGTATTTTAATTTGAAAAACTAGACAATCGCTACTGAAGTTCCAGAATGCATAATAACTTACATGACTCCAGGAGCTAAGACGCTCACAAATGAATTTGGAAGACAAAATAGAATCATTCATCCTTTTATGTACCATCACAACAGAGGAAGGTTCACAGATTAAGCTTTGTGAATAAGGACGCTTGGAGATGCCCAGGTCTTGCTAAATCTTGTCAAGAATTTTCCTTGACCCACACTGCTTCCCAAAGACTGGAGCAAATTTTCATAGATGCTTGGATTGATCTTAAACACGTTTTTTGAAGTATGTTATTTACTTGATTTTTTTGAGCATGTTATTTAAAGATGCATTTGTTAAAATTTGGAGACTATTTGGATAACTTTTGTATTATCATCAAAATACCTCATTATTTCATTTCTCAATAGTGTATCATATTATAATTTTATATAAAATTGCAACAGTCTTAAATACAACCCTTTTTCTTCAGTATCACCACTCTACCCAGATCTTTGGATTATTATTATCAGTACAAAATGTTAGTTTTGCAATATTTAAAAAATCTTCCTTTGGGGTTGGAGACATGGCTCAGTGGTTAAGAACACTGGTTGATCTTGCAGAAGACCCAGGTTCAAATATCAGCATCTACATGGCAGGTAACAACTGTCCGTTATCTCCAGTCCCAGGGGCTCTAACAGCCTCTTCTGATCTCCGTGGGCATTGCACAACATGTGTGCACTTACCTACATGTAAGCAACACATGCATACACATAAAATAAAAACAATAAAATTTTTTAAAAATCTTCCTTTGATATTAGTACTGCTAACTACCAAATTTCTATGCTGCTTTTTATATATAAATACCTTAAGCTGGGTTTTAAAGTTACTGTATCCAAGACTTCCATTACCTTTCAAATCCATTCCCATCCCTGTCACACTAAGAAAATTTCTCTTACCAAAATCATTAGTAATCTCTATCTGCTTCAACATCTATGTAGACCTGTTTGTTCCTAGAGACTGTGTTGGACCCACTGAAGCACTATTTATATTTTATGCTAATATTAACGGCATTCTGGTTTTAAATTTGAATTTATATAAACAGAGATCAGTTGTAAACTCAAGTGGAATAGCAAACACAAAAGCACAAATATTGGAGACTTGTAAGAACACAAATAAACCTGAAAACCTTAACAAACAAGTAAAGCTCAAATTCACCACTAAGACATTGTGCTAATTATTTTGAGATTCATAAGTATATAACAGTGAATCTCTTTTTCATTGAAGGAATAATAGACAATAACCTTCAATTTAATAGGTTATTCTCTTTACATTTGAACTGCATAAAGACTGGTTTAAGTATTTTGGAACCATTTCGGTTGTTACATATAGAAGAATGACAAAAAGACTTGTAAAAAGCACCCAGATACAGCTGCTTCAGAAGGGCACAGAGATCATGCCACTGTCTAAGCAAAGAAGCTTCACTCAGAGCTCTTGTAGTTTTGACTCTCCATAGCCTGATGGTAACACCTCAGGGAGAAAAGGGTGTGGTCCTGATCTCCTAGGCATCCAGAGTGCCTGTGTATGTCTGAGTTTTGAGAGCTACAGTTGTGAAAATTCAAACTGAGAGTTCCTGCTTGGCTGTATGTGACCAACATTTCTTACTATGTGAGCAGTGTGACAAAGCAGCAGGTCTCTGTTGCCTTCCCCACACCCTCTGAATGAGGCAAGTCCATGGGCTTCCTGGATAAAGCGCTGAGAAAAGAGAGCTTTAAAACAGCTTTCTGTTTTTATTACTTGTAAGCTAATAGTGGATATTGGCAGAGGGAAGCTACAGGGATGGACTGGTGGTTGGGAGGGAGCAGAACACAAGTGACTGACTTTTCTCCTTAAGTATGTAGAAGACATCAAAGGTGTTACATGTATAATGGCCTTCACAATAAATAATCTATTATATCGTAGGAAAGATAGCACTAGGATCACAATGAAATAAACCAAGCTTGGATTAAAGGGGACACAGCAAGGGCAGATCAGGTGATAAACTAGTAAGACTGAACCAAATGAACCATTGCACCAAATCAACAGCAAGAGAGGACTAGGGAACAAATTTTCTGCATAGTTCAGTGAACTTACTTCCGGAAGCAGTGAGCTGCTGTGAGCAGCCACGTGTTGCTGATGAGGGTAGCTCCACACTGATGGCCAGCCCCTATGAGTTGCAGGCTGGCCTGCCATGGCCACTCCCCTTCCATAGCTGTTTCCCTTCCTTGGACAATCCGGTCAGTAGAAGAGGATGCTGGTAATGGCATGTTTGAAGATGACATCCTTATTCCACATCCTTATAGAGAAATACATGTTAGTTTATTCTTCTGTCAAGGGAGGAAAGAAGGTATCATGATTTGCATTCAGTGAGGTTTCTGAGAAGACCCATTGCCCCCACTGCTCTTCATCCTACCCTAGCATTCAGCGTCTGGTTTATTTTATACCAGGTAAATTTTATTTTATATGGTTCTTTTGATCACACTGAATACATTTTATAGATTGTGTTAGAAGAAATATTTATCAAAGTATCAAGGCATTTGGTCCAAAAGTCAACATCTGTCTCTGTGTGTAAAACATATTGAGCATAACATGACAGCACACAATACAATCCCAGTATTTGGGAGGTTGAGATAGGAATGTTGTTAGTTCGAGGCCCACCTACACATTGAGCCTCTGCCACAAGCAAAGAAAGAAAGAAAGAAACAATATGAGCCAAAAATCATGAATTAAATTAAAATAGAAGTAAAAATGTTTTAGTTGCATGGAGAATTTGGAAACTGGTAAATGCATTCAGCTGGACTAGTCAAGTGTTCTGTCTGTCAAGGGAAGGTGGCCTTGGGCTTTTATGATGAAGGTGGATGCTGCAATTTAGCATTCTTTGAGTAAATAGGCAGGATTGGGACATGTTCACTTATCAGAAACTATTGTAAATCACGGTGGTTTTAAATTTTGTACCTAAGTCAGGAGACAAATGACCAATCTGGTGTGCTTCAAACCTGTTAAGGTGTTGTGAAGTTGAAATGTTCCCTCTGCTTCAGTGCCTAGTGTCATTCCTGTGTAGTAATCTGCCCAATATTAGCACATAATTAAAGTGAGAAAACGATTTTTGTTTTCCTGTTAATCATTCTGTAGCCAGTTTGACTTTTATTCTTATAAATACATAATTATGGAGCTTCAAAAATGTCTAGATTCTCCATGAGCTGGAGAGACGGCTCAGCAGTTAAGAGCACTTGCTGCTCTTGCAGAGGACCTAGGTTCGTTTCCTAGTACCGCATGGCAGCTAACATCTTCCCATAAATCCAATTCTAAGAGGTCCAACGCCCTCTCTGACTTCTGTGGACATTGCACAACATGGGTGCACTTATATACATGTCAGCAGTACACTCATAAACATAAAATAAAAATAAAATATTTTTTAAAAGGGTATAGATCCTCTGCTAAATGTTTTATATTTGTGTAGAGCAACATACTTTTTAGATGAGAAAACCCACTCTTGAAGGGGGAACACAGATTGATGTGGGTCACCTGTCTGGTGAGTGACAGAGTGGGATATAACATTAGGAGATTCCACATTCAAGTCAGTAGTACCCTTACTGCTGAGAGAAACCCCAACACTGAATGTGAATAATGATTTTTCCTTCACATTACAAGAAGAGTAAATTTATTTTTGCAAAGCTGCATTTTAGTAGTTTTAAATGATAATTTTTTCATCTTTTAAAATATGAAAGAGTAGTTTAGAATATTTTTTACTCCCTAATCAAATCTTCCAATGATTAAATTTTAACCAACTTTCCAAAAGACTCAAAAGTGTTCTTAAACACTTTTATAAAACATTTATAATAGTAATATATTTATGTACAAAAATTCAAAATATGTTCAAGTGTGGTGGCCAGGATGAAAGGGGAGAAAATACATAGCAGATATCTGAATAAATATGCAAGGAAACTAAAACAAATAACAAGAAAAACCTTAACTTTTTACTCTCTTGAATCATGTCAGAATATAAAGGGAAATATTTAAAGAGAAATAGTAACATAATAGTGAGAATACTATGTAAAATTCATAGGCCATAAAGCTTAAATTTTACTATTATACATTTACTATTTTTAAATATTAAAAACAAAAATAAAATGACTAAGTTCTTGGTTTATAAAAATATAAAATGAAGGAATGAAGCTTGGACTTCTGACATCATTGTGATTCTTATTCATTATCTTTAGTATGAAATAAGCATCTAATTGTTGATTATAGAACTTACGGCTATTGAGAAGATTTCTCATCTTTTTGCTGTCAATAGCTGTAATAAATTAAACAGGAGTTAGTTGGTATAATACATTCCATTTCCACGTTATTTTGTTCAGATATTCATAAATAGCAATGCTAATTATCTGAAGCATTCATCTTTGAAGAACCTATTGGATTTTTCATAACCATTAATTTGGTAAACAACCCTTTGACTTATTTTTTGTTCATGTAATTTTTCATTAAAAAAATAAATTCAGAGAGTATTTTATCTTATGATTTTGCTTTAGAAACAGAAAAGGAAATTAGAAAATCGGGAAAGGAGGAGTGAGGATAAAAGTCCCAAAACACTTTCTTTAAGGGACTGCAGCAAAAATCAAAGAAACAACCTCCAATTCGCATCACAACTGGTGTTACCATACCGCATGTCTTGGGTGTGTTCCCAGTAGTCAGTGGTTAAGAGCGAAGATCCAGGAAGCTGAAGGGATCACAGAACCTTTGGGGCCCAATCTCAATGTTCTGTTTGAATAAGAATTAGGATTTTTGTCCATACAAATTACTGCTCTTTCACTGAGGACTCTTAACAGTGTCAGGGAAGTTTGCAACCCGGGTAATAGGCACTAAAGGCGGAGCGTGAAGCTCCTTCATTTACAATCTGTCCAAACACCCCATCCATCCACAACTCTCATTCCACAGCCATGTACTATAGAAAAGTAGCTGGAGACAAGGTTATGATCTAGTGGAAACAGACTCGGAAGGAACAAGGCACATCCTGTCTGCTCAGTCTTCCTGAATAGCAGTCTTTCTTCCTCAGGCAGGGCGCCCTGGGAAGGAAGATCTTGCGATGTACTGTTGGGAAGGTGGGCTAAAGAATTTCTTATGACTGGCTCTTACACAGAAAGGCAGAGGGCAGTCTGCCTCCTGGGTATCTGCTTTGGAGAGGAAGAGCTCTAGTTCCTCTAATGTCTTTGAGGAATAATGTGAGAAAAGGAGACAGAGAAACAGAATAAAACTTGTTTTGAAGGTCCTTATGATTTACATTAGTTCTAAGTACTCACGATGCCCAAACATCATCCTTTGAATTATTCTGTTCTGCTGTGACTGTTCAAAGAGCAACATGAACCCCAGTCCCAACTAGAGGTTTCCCAGAGATATATTTTTAAATGAATGATATTTATGTTGTAGACGAAAATACATGCAATTGAAGTTTTGTTATCAATCATCATCTTAGATAATACTAACTTTGGTATCAAAATAATCTGTATGATAAAATGTCAATGTGTGAGACCAAGGCCAAATATTACTTCTAAAAAATGTGAACTAAAAGAACTCTGTAACTTAAAAACTTAGTGAACTTTTGTGGTTGATACTTTATTTTATAATATATGATCATCCCTTATATTATATTATTTTCTAATAAGATGAGGAATTGAGATTTGCTCTGAGATTTCCCTTTATAGACTGTTGAAAATGTCACATTTTCCTTTAGAATGTGATTTACTAACAATCTAGGTAATACAGAGTAAGTAAAGACCATGATCTTTGTTATTTCCAATTGTTTATGAAATATATGGGAAAATTCAACTTCAAGATGCATTTGAAGGATTTGCAAACTCTTTCCCTCTTTTATATAAAGTTAGAAGTAACTGAATTTATAATTCACATTGCAAAGTAATAATGCTAGAAAGCCCACTGCACTGAGATGTAGATATAGTCCAAGGGCGGGTAATAAGATGAAAAGACACAGGGCCTGTCCTTAAATTTGGAACTATTTGAAACATTGTATTTTATTTGAGATAATATGTTACTTTCTAATTGTGTTCTGGCAGAGATTACTAAAAATCTCTAGGCCTGGATTCTAGCCAGTTTTAAGGTGTTTTCATTTTAGTTTCATAAACTTTCTGACCTTCATTTTCTTCTATTTGGGGAGAAAAGGACTTTCCAGTTTTTTTGTAAGTAAAATGAAATAATGAAAAATATTTTGAAGTTGGAAATAATTTAAAGGACCCCTTTACAGTTTATCTCTCTTGTTAAAGAATAAACCTTTGTGTAGTTGTTGATTTCTTTGATAAAAACAAAGCTCTCTGGAATAAACCTGCCAAAATCTTCTGAGATTCACAATATTTCTATCTAATTCTTGCTTCTAGCTTTGCTAGCCTTACGTTTTATGACTCTTTTTAGTCTCAGCCTCCTTTACTGTAAAATGGTGGAAATAACACCTACCTTAGGAGTTGTAAGGAATCAAATATCATGTGATAATAATTTAAAAACTTCATTAAAAGCCCTAATAAAATAAGAAAAATGTAATTCTAAATTTCACCTCATAGTGAATACTTACTTTACTTTTAAGAAAGGCTGATACATGTATTCATGGCAAATTTGTGAAATGAGAAGATACAACTACATTCTTATGAAATATTAAGGAGATTGCAATCAAAATGAACTATAGAAATGACAAATAATGAAAACTTACGTGTAAGGCTAAATGACGGTTTATTTATAGTCAAAGGCAAGTATTTGATCTTCAGACTTTGATATAAAGTCCTTTCAATTTTTTTCTTGATTCGTTCAGCACTATCAGTCGATGGGTATCGAAACATGAGCACCATGAGAACATTCACTCCTTGTTCATCTGGACTGAAGAGCGAACAGCAGACACATAATGCCATCTCCGTAACCATCAACTAATTGTAGCTACTAAGACTCCATGACTTTAAAGAAACACCATGGATGTCAAATGTGCATATCAGACTTAAAATTATCTCTAGATACAGGAAGGGAGACATGATGATAAGTGTTGGAATCGCTGCAGAAATAAAAGCAACACAGTAGAAATACGAGACAAGATTATTCTGTGCCTTTCCTCAGTTTCGAGAGTTTTGTGAAATGTTCATGAAATCATGCTTTGCATTCCCTTAAAGTATTTGCTTTTTAAGGTCTTTTGAGCAAAAGTTGTAGACCAGGTCCTTATTTTCCAGCAGGGCATGGCAGAGGCAATGATGTATACCTAACCCACTGTCTTCTGCCTCATGAGCATAGAACTAGACTTTATTTCTAGCCTCACCTGAAGATTAAAGAAACTCTAATGAATTCTGGCCAATGGGATGTGGGAAGAAATGATGCCTCTCACTTCCAAGCCTGGCTCATGCCTCATACCATTTTCCATGCTCTTCCCTCATCGGCCAGCCAGAAATAGAAGGTCCCATGGGCAGTGTCACCCCACAGTGGCCACCAGCATTGCCCTACTTCTCACTCTTTGAAATGAACTGTGGAAATGAAATCAACATTTATTGTATAAAAGCACTGGTGTTTGGTGTTCATTTAATATAAAAATTAGAGGGAATATTTTACAAAGGGAAATCATTTTTCAATGATTCAAATGCATAAATTTATATTGTGATGTGTAAGCCTGGGGAATCTCTAGTTCCCTTTTGAGAATGATTTAATTTGAAAGACAAAAAAATGAAAGGAAGGAACAAAGGCATAAAGACAGAAAAATAAAGAAAGCAAGGAAAAGTAAAGAATAAAAGATGGAAGGGCAAAACAGAAAGAAAAAGAATGAGCCCTTTAACGGTACTATTCACTTCTTCAGCAATAATGAAACAAAATGTGTAACATATATATTTCTATCATCTATCATTTATCATCTACCATCTATCATCTATCTATCATCTATCTATCTATCTATCATCATCTATCTAGCAATCATCTATCATTTGCCTATCATCTATTTACCTCTGTCAATGTGGAATCCTAGGCTTTTCAGACATTTTCTAAACGTGCTTAGGGGCTAATGAGATAGTTGAACAGGTAAGTGCACTTGCTGCCAAATATGACGACCTGTGTTAGACTCCTGGAATCCACATGGTGGAAGGAGAGAACTGACTCCTGCAAATTGTCCTCTTGTCCTCTGACCTCCAGACACATACCATGGTATGTACATGCTGACACACATACACGCAAAATAAATACATGTAGAAAAAGATGGATTTTAGTAATAAAGCTTAGTCTCTGTTAATAACTCCATGCTTAATTTATGTGCATTACTTTTTACCAAATCATTAAAATCAAAAGGCGTTTAAAAATAATAAAAATGCACTGCTATTAAAGAAAATTATTACACAGAAAGTGAGAGTGATGGTTGTACAGGCTTGAAGAGAAAAAAAATTTAAAGGCCTATGCTTTGTTCTACCTGGCTCCTCCCTTAAAGGGGCAGTGTGGCACTAACAGAACCATCTGATTCCTCACTTTTCTGTATATTTTTTCCTACCTCACTGAGATGATCTGGCCATATAGTATTTTACATCTTTCCACTGTGACTAGTAAATGGTTTAAATGGTTAGGGAGCATAATGGTTAGGGAGCTGCTTAAGTTTTTATCAAATCTCTTCGCTACAAAAGTTCTTAAGGCAACTGAGCAAGCATGTCAATGAAATGTATCATGTTAACAGTCCCAATTTGAAGTTACAAGTCAAGTCTACGTACCTTAGCTTAATAACATGAGACTTGATAAATCGACCCACTCCAGAAGAACGTCGAAATATCCTAGACATCTGATAAAAAATTTAAAAGTATTAGTCTAAAGAAACATATTACTCCTTGTCTTACCCAGATATCTGAGGTGAAGGAAAGGTCTTCAGCTGATTTTCATGATATAAATTGGCTTTTTGCATTGAGAAATGAAGACTAATTTCTAATCCTTATAGGACTCATCAACCTTTACAAACTGTTAACTTACTGAGCCTTTGTAAAAGGGGGTAACAGCAATATCTGCCTTATAAAGTTTATTTAAGAAATAAAATTAGAAACTAGAGAGATGGTTAAGTGATTAAGAATATTTGCTCCACAATCATAAAACCAGAGTTCGGATTCAGTTTGCAGCATCCACTTAATAATCCAGGTAGTCCTGCAAACTCTTGTGATGCCAGATCTGAAGAGGGCAGAGACAGGAAGATTGATGGGCTTGCTGGCTTCCAGTCCATCCAAAAAGTTAGAATTCAGATTCAAGGAGAGAGCCTGCCTTAAAAAAAAATCGATGGGGAATAAATGAAGAGATACCCAATGCCTTCTGATGGCCTTCTCATGTATGCACAGATACTTCTGTTCATTTAATATACACACACGAATAAATAAATAAATAAAGATGAAAATAATAACAAAAGAAAAAAGGAACAAAATTGTATCATCTATTTCATATCTTGTTTAATGTTTAGCAAATTATTTACAATGTTAGTCTTAATTACTGTCAAATGGATTAAGGCAGCATCCTCATTTCTAAAAAACCCCAGCCTGTTTGTCACTCATGAATCTAGTGCACCACTGATACCAAGTTTGTTTGTTGATTTCTTTAACAATTATGGTATCACCTAGCCATTTGACATGACTGTAGCAGCATCTGTCTTGTGACTCTGACACTTCAGAGTGAGTCATCTCTTTATGACATCCAAGACTAAACATCTGATACTTCGGCTGGTCATCAGTTTCACCATACTTCATACCATCAGCATCGCATTCCTCAATCTTTCCTTCTTGAACCTAGAGTAAAGCACTCTAGATATTCAGAAAACTGATTTCCAACAGTCCTAATTCCCTAAAGGAACGCAGCTGCCTGTAAGACACTGCATTACTATCAAAGAATACTGGACTGAGAATCAGAAGTCAAGAATCCAAGTCCTTGCAAGAGAAGCCAAAGTCTTATAGCCCCCCTCCTGTCCCCCTCCAATTACTACATCCTCTGGGATAAGGGAGTTTTGTATGCTTTCTCCATAAGATTCCTTTTTCTACTTAACTCCTCTGAACCAATAGACTTTTACATTCTAAATATTAAATCCAATTTCCTCATTACAGTCTCATGGTGGGCAAAAGTCTTCTCCGAAACCTGTGTTTATATGATTTGTTTCCCTTCTGTATTCCCCAACAATGCAAGCAAGCAATGACATCTATAAAATACAAACTGAGTATATTAAATTCTTGTTTCTAGCCCAGTAATTGGAAACTCCCTGCAAGTAAGGACTACTATCTCATTCCTCTATTGGCCCCTGCCTTGCTCAATTCTTACTTAAAAGCCCCATTCCTCTCTCCTTAATTTTAAGGTGTTTATTTTATTAAAGCAAATGTGGGAAATTGGACTGATTCTGTAACTTGACTACTGTGCATAGTGTTGAGGTATCATCTATCAATAGACAAACGGAAATTGTTTGGGAATTTTATTCAGCCATAAAGAATAAAATTGTGTCACTTTTAGGATAATAGGTAAAAATCAAGGCTATATTAAGAAAAATGAGCCAAATTCAGAATGACAAATATCACATACTTTCTCTCATATGTGGATCCCAGATTTTATGTATAAAACAACTTAAATATATAAATATACATCCAATCCCTATGTATGACATGAAATGAGTAGTGTGATTATCTAGGAAAAGAAACTGGTTAAGAGGGAGGGGAGTAAAAGAGAAAATAAAGGAGATGAATTGGTCAAGTTACATAATACATTTGAATGAGAATGTACTTAAGAAACTCATTACTATGTATGTGAATGCATACCAACAAAATATTTAAAAGTCAAGAAAACATATGGAATTACTTCAGATATAAATTGAATATGCATTAATATAAACTCAGTGA